CCTATACAGGCGTACAGTAGCCGTAATGGCAGTACACATTTTCGTTTACAGTAGGCTACGAGACGGGGCGAATTCGCAGCGCTCAACACCTCTTCATAGGATGTAGGTTGGCCCACCTTCCAGGGCCGTTGACTTCTATTTTCAGGATCGAGGAAGACAACATAAAAGTTTAACCTACAGAAATTACTACGCCGTTAACAGGTAACGGCAAACCCAGTGGTTAGCACCTCAATCGATGTGGATTACTTCCTTCAGACGGACATCTACTGCCAACTGACCACATCTACGGCTCCGTGCTCTAGGCAACTAATGTAACCTTATCTCCTCTGCTTCCAGACAAGCAATGGACATGGCCTTGCTTCGGCTTCCGTTCGCCGTTATGGTCCCCGTCGACGAGTTGCTAGACGCTTCGGCTTCCACCGACTTCTAATATCATAAGGCTGACAGTAAATCATATGGTATAAGTCTCTTAGATAATTCTTTTTTAAAAGGAACCCAGACAAGAACATCGGCCACATCTTTCCGTTACCGTCCTATCCAATTATTCGTCAACATTAACTGGTCTTAAAAAACCTCCTGCACTTCTGATAGCAGAAACACTGCCGGCGCATAGAATTATTTAAAAACAAAAGGGAGACGTATCAGTCACTTACCGGGCTTTTCGCTAGGACATCACGGCTGACGAAACTACTCATACCGTACGTACCAAAAAATGGAAGCTTCTCGTTTGTCACTGTTGCAGGATTCTGATTGGCTGCCTTCTCTATAAGTTCGATTTTCCCGTTGACTTTGGTGTGCCACTGGACGTAGTACGGAAAGCATCTCTGCATTGTAGCCTTAATTTTTTGCCCTCCGCAGTTTATTCGGCAATTCATTAAAACGAATTTCAATGGTGGCTTGAATTTTCTTCCGATTGCGGAATTATCTCTGGGTTATTCTTTCAATGTTTTGCCCCATTCATTCAATCCCCTACTACTAAAAATGTCATAAGACGCTGGGACGGACTGCACTTTTCCATTTGGTTGGAGTAATCCATTCACTACTTCTCCCTAAACGGATTGATGCCTTTCTGAAGAGGATAA